AGATGGTGAACCAGGTAACGGTTGTAACGCTAGACACGATAGATGGTGAACCAGTTAACGGTTGTAACGCTAGACACGATAGATGGTAAACCAGTTAACGGTTGTAACGCTAGACACGATAGATGGTAAACCAGGTAACGGTTGTAACGCTAGACACGATAGATGGTGAACCAGTTAACGGTTGTAACGCTAGACACGATAGATGGTGAACCAGGTAAAGGTTGTAACGCTAGACACGATAGATGGTGAAGCAGGTAACGGTTGTAACACTAGACACGATAGATGGTGAACCAGGTAACGGTTGTAACGCTAGACACGATAGATGGTGAACCAGGTAACGTTGTAACACAAGACACGATAGATGGTAAACCAGGTAACGGTTGTAACGCTAGACACGATAGATGGTGAACCAGGTAACGGTTGTAACGCTAGACACGATAGATGGTGAATCATGTAACTGTTGTAACGCCAGACACGATAGATGGTGAAGCAGGTAACGGTTGTAACACTAGACACGATAGATGGTGAACCAGGTAACGTTGTAACACAAGACACGATAGATGGTAAACCAGGTAACGGTTGTAACGCTAGACACGATAGATGGTGAATCATGTAACTGTTGTAACGCCAGACACGATAGATGGTGAACCAGGTAAAGGTTGTAACACTAGACACGACAGATGGTGAATCATGTAACTGTTGTAACGCCAGACACGATAGAGACCAGCAACTGTTGTAACACCAGACATGATAGATTGTTAACTAGGTAACGGTTGTAACACTAGACACGATAGATCGTGAATCAGGTAACGGTTGTAACGCCAGACACGATAGATGATGAACCAGGTATCGGTTGCAGTGCTATACAGGATAGATGCTAAATCAGATAACGGTTGCAACGTCAGCGTAATAAAATACAATCGAGTGTAGTACGAATGCAGTAGTACAGTATAGTACCCGGAGGTGTTAATTATTTGGTAGCATAACAGTAGTATAGTAGTAATAATACGTGCGTAGTCCGTCGTATAAACGTGAACAATGCGTCGAGTATGATTTCATCATGCCCACATTCACGCACGCACGCACGCACGCGCACGAAACGCACGCACACAAACGATTATCGTTTCGTTTTTCACCAGAATATGAGCACAACTTCAACAAGTACGACGAGAGCACAGTGACGCAGTTTGGCTTCCCGTACGACTACGGCTCGGTGATGCACTACAGCTCCTACGGCTTCAGCACAAACGGCGAACCGACAATAATGCCGCTGTACGTTTACCTCGACGACATCGGACAACGAGACGGCTTCTCTGCTACCGACGTCGACAAGCTAGACGCAATGTACTGCTAATTGTAATCGCCTAAGATAATTCTAATCGACGCAGCTCTGTTTTCCGGCGAACACACAGCACATCCGTGTCCCAAAATAAACCCATGACGATAACGCACCTGCATATTTTAACCCATGATGATAATTCGCACCGGTCTATAAACCTATGGAGATCACAGACCTGCCTATAATCCTTATGACCATGAGCATGCATACCTCTCTGTAGTAATGCATAATTACTATGAATCTGCGGGTAATGTTAATGAATAGGTAGTAGCCCGCGAGCCCATCACAGCGACAGCTCGATGGCTTCTTCTGAGGCTTCCGCGTAGCATTTTGTAATAATCACGAAAAAATAATGTAAAAACATCGCTTTAAAATAATAGTATATTAGTTCTAACGGCAACAGTAAGAGTAATTATGTCTGTTTCTCATAACAACATAAATGTTGTTCACATAAACGGTGGTTTGTCTGCGAATATAAGAAATAATAAATACAAAACTGATGAAAGAAAGCTTACGATGTTACTTTATGCACACGGAACCGTATGCATTGTTCATGACTATATATAATACGAGTATTATTTAGACGTTATTCGACAAAGGATTACGTGTATATAGTACTAGTGGGGGACGCGGCGTGCCTGGGTTGCTTTTGCGACCAATATGGTCGTTTCAGAAGAACGCAGAGAATAAGAAGTGCTATTTTATAATGCAGTGGTAGAGCGATGAGTTTTATGAGAAGAAGATATTTAGCATAGTGTGAAAAACTAAAGCTATGAAAACTGTGATTGTACAAGGTTAATTGAATAGAACGTAACGTCAGGCAACGTACCATACCACAGCCGAAACATGAGAGGCAGCTGAGGCTGTCATGAATTAGCACGCCTTACGTAAAGTAACGTAACGTATCTAATAATCGTAATAATAATACGTAATAATCGGACCATCAACATGATGAATTAGCATGCATGAGATTATGTTAACATTGTAGAACATGAAATAGTAGTGCTATAAAGAAAGTAATTGTTAAATCATGAATGGAAGAAGTGCGTTCAATGCACGTTAGAAGCGTAAACATAATAAACATAGCACCACTGTAACCGAGGTTCACTGTTTTATAGAATGCTGCATGGTAAGGTACATTATTACCTATGGTGTCGGTGAAACTATATCATAACGTACATTAACGGTAATAATGTACAGTGAAATGATATTATGAACATATCGTAGGCTGCAGAACATAATTTTAATACAGTAGACGGACGAAGTTTGCCTTTCTGTTTCTCTTTGTGAACTGCCTGGCCCGAGCGACGTTGTCACAATGGCAACAAACCATGACCATGTTGGCAGAAACCTAACAACTGGTTGGCTAATTGTTTTACTGGGTGTCTACAAATTCTGTCGTTGTGAATGGAAGTTTCTTTAGCCTAAAACCATGCCGGGTAGGCGACCAGTATGCGTGCCTCGTATGGGTGTAATCGGCTAGGTGGTTTAGGACGAGATCCGGCACCCAGGCACGACAGACACAGCTCTTACAGTATAGCTTGTGCTCTTAAGTGCTGTTTATGTGCTCTTGCGTGTTTATAGACTGTTTACGTACTCTTGCGCTGGTTATGTGCTTCCGTGTGTTTATGGGTTATTTAGGTGCTTTGGTGTGCTTATGTGCTGGTTATGTGGCAGTGCTTCCGTGTGTTTATGGTTTGTTCAAGTGCTCCTATGTGCTGTTCTTTTGCTCTTGCTTGTATTGTATGTTACATTGTAATTAACTGTGCGACAAATTGGCACCCGCATCCTCCACCAATTGTTGGACGACCCTAAGACGAATTTACTACGCGTCTGTCTATGCTGCATGTTGTACTTCAAGGCAAGATAGATGTTTCTGAGTAACTATGAGCAATGGGGTAGATGTTTATGCAGGAGAGCAGGATGGGCAATTCTGCGACACGGGGAGAGGCCGGCCGCCGAGTTGCTTGAGAACGGTCCTAGAGACCTAGAGGATGACCCGATGTGCGAGAGAGGAGGGAGAAGAGGCGACGGGCGAGCGAGGAGTAGCGGAGGCAGAGACGATGGTAGAGGATAGAAGTCCTGAGTAGAGGCACTTGTCATTGGTAGTTCGGGAGAAGCTGTCCCGACGGAGAAGAGAGAGACGAGAGAGAGGCACGAGAGAGAGAGACGATAGCGCTGGTGCCGTGTGCTACATAGATTTCATGACCGTGGACGGGCGAACGGTGGGTCAGGGTACTGGCGCTGGTTTGCGGAAAGCGGAGCGTGCAGGCGAGCGGAGAAAGACAGACAGAAAGAGCGGGGTGGGGGAGGACATATAGTGAGAGGTGAGATGGGCGAGGTCGAGAGAGGTTAGAGGGATGGTGGAGTACTGGGTTAACGGCAGAAAGGGAGGGGGGTTATTAGTAGTTGATTGTAGCTGAGATGGTTGCATTCATAGCAAAATATAGACTGATAGTATTAGTCGTGGTGTTGGTAAGTAAAGTGGTGCTATACAGTAAGTCCGTCGATGGTGTAGTGTAGTATTAATAGATTTGGTATAATTTTTATATGGTGAGTAGATGTTGATTTATCCAGCGGTGTGGAGAGGTATTAGGATAGGGGGGGATAGTAAAGTTGGGGAGGTAGAAGTGGCGCGGTAAGAGGTCTGTAAAAGGCTGAAAGGGTGTAAAAAGAGGGTGGGGTGAATTAACCTTATTAGGGCTATAGAGGATGTGGTAATTTGAATGCGGACATTAAGGTGTGGTAGGGTAGAGGTGTTCGCTTGGTAGGGAAGATAAAATGTGAAGAAAAAAGAAATTGAGTGGGTAGTAAGCAAAAAAAGGTAGAGTAGGGAAAGGGCTGAGTTGTTAGTAAGTGATTATATTAGAGTGCGACATGGTATGTCGAGAAACAGAGAACTATTAGAAAAAATATTTTGGGTAACGACAGTTCTTCGGCGCGGTTGGCTAGATTTTGTATGGGCTTTTATTGAAGGTGAAATCGTATCTCTGTATTGGAAAGGTAAGTGTTCGGATAAACTTTTGATGGGAGGTGTTACCTGGATTTGTTCATGTAACAGACTATGTTTGGTTTTTAGGGCTCACTGTTATGTCCGGGGTGTGCGTTTTTGCAAGGCAATGTTTGTTGACAGGTTTCGTATTACTTATTGTTTTCTAGCAGTGGTGTGTCTATAGAACTGATCTTGGGGTGGGTGATACGGAATGTAGTCATGCCGGTAATTGACAGGGCTGGTGGGAGGTTTTTTGGCTGATCCTTGGTTGCTGTGCTGATGTAGTGCTCGTGTAGATGTTGCATACCACTCTCGTAATTGTCCTCTCTGGAATTTTATCGTTTATCTCGGTTTTGGCTATGTCATGCTCGGTGGGTCTGCGTGGTATCGAGGACGATGAGAGATCTTGATTATTATGTTTAAACTGGCTGCTACGGTATACGTTCGAGAGGTCGCGTGGGTGTACACGTGGGTAATGTGTTTTGAAAAGTTGCTTTTTGTTGTTTCGATGTGTCTTCGCTCTCGTAGGACATGTCGATAATGAGTTGCTATCGTATTGTAAGTCTCTGATTTGTTTATTTGATTGATATTAATTGGTGAGTGTGTGAGGTGTGTGTTTGCACTTTAGGGTGGAAGCTGAAGTGAGTGTCGCGAGATAGGGTTTGCTATCGCTGATCGTGTGACCTTTATGTATGTTTTGTTGGTGTTTCTGTCGGTACGGCACAAGTGGAAGGGGCTGTAGTGGAAGAGGTTCTAATGAGGGTGGCACGAGTGCAACGGGGCTGGTAAAAGGGCATAATTCGGTGGGTTTTAATTTTTTTTATTAGTGAGAGGTCGAGGGAGTGGATCGGGTGCACGTGGAGACAGTGTAGTGGAAGGTCGCGGGTGGACGGGGAGGTGGGAGGCTGTGGGGGGGACAGGGAAAGGGTGTTCCGGGTGTGGTAGTTGCGGCGGTGAACGGGTTGCACGGCTGCAAGCGCGAGTTTCGTTATTGGATCGGGCTGAGGTGGAGGTGTCGGATTGCACGCGGGGGTGCAGAGCTTGCGATGAGGGTCGGTGCTATCTGTGGGGAGGCCGGGTATGGCTGCGGTGAGGTCGGGGAATGCGTGGAAGGGCTGGTGATGAGGTCGGTGCACGCGTGCACGGGTGGAAGCTATGTGACGGTCGGTGCACGGGTCGCGAAGACGCGTGTCACGGTAGGGGGGCTGGGAGGCGTGAGCGTACGCGCGGGTGGCACGGATGTTGAAGAAGCTGGGCAAGCAAAAGTAGAGGGTTGACTCGGTGGCAGGGCGCCATGGCGAGCGGGTGGATAGGCTGTGTGAGTGGGCGTGGGAGCAGGGTCTCGGGAGGCGGGGCGGTGTGCCGGTGAGGAAGCTGGGTCTGCGATGGTCGTCACAGTGCATCTGCGATAGACACTTCGGCGATAAGCTGATGTCTTATGGTTGTCTTGTCTAGTAGTATGAATAGGGTGAATTTGATATTGAGTGAGGCAGTATCGTTTATAAGGCGCGTGCGTGCACGGTAGATGCACGGTGCACTGGGGGAAGGGCGGGGGGGGAGCGTCGTAGCTCGGGCGGTGTCACGGTTGGAAGCTAAATGATGTGCTGTCGGTCGCCGTGCACGGATGCACGGGGGAAGCTGTGTCAGGTCGGTGACACGGGTGCCACGCGTGGGAAGCTGGGTGAGGTCGGTGCTCACGCTAAGAGTGCCGGGGTGTTGATGGACTAAGTGTGTTGTGAGTCGTGTGTCCAACGCGAGCTGGTTTATCCGTGAAACGCGATGGTCAGCGTCTGGGTCTTGTCAGTCTGGTGACGTGTTCTCTGTTCCCCCTGCCCTAATGACTAGGGGTAAAGGCGTATGAACAGGGGTTGGTATATGATCGCGTTCATATCGAGGGGATAGCTGGATTTTCCGGAGATTAAAGATGGGAACTGGCATTGGGGTAGTTTAGTTCTGGGGATCACTTCGTTAGTGGTTGTGAGTGAATGTAATTACGTAGGAATTTTAGGGGCACGGTCGCACAAGTGCGGTTTTGTTTCTTTTGGTAGCGTTCGAACCGTGGGTCCTTACGGTGCACTGTGGTGGTAAAGTGCTTGGGTGATGGCATTGATGTTTCTCGATTATTTTCGGGGATAATTTCCGAGGTGCTGAGGGCTGGTATTCTTGCACTGTGGAGTGGCTCGTGTAGTTTATCTGGTAAAGACTGGTGTAGTGTATTGTGGATTGGGTCGTCGGGTGATGCTCGTTCCGACGTAAATGCGGTGGAAGCTGGTGCTTTTGTTGCGTGCATTGCGTGGAGTTAAATGTTTTTGATTTTTGGCAGGATAGTTGGTTTCCGTACGGAGGGTCGGGACTTGACGAGTGCACGGCGAAGACTGTGTGAAGGTCGGTGCACGGTGCAAGCTCGCGTGAAGGTCGGTGCACGGTGCACGGTGGAGCTGGCGTGACGCGTCGGGCTCGGTGCACGGTGGAAGCTGTGGGTGAGGTCGGTGCACGGTCGGAAGCGGT